GAAGGAAAAGAAACCCTAGTTTACTTTCCTTGTTAACAGGCTTTGTAGGTGTGATCTTCCTTGAACTTCAGCTCAGGAAAACCCTTTATAGCTTTAAACTTTAGTATCTTAGTAATGTTCTTTGAGTGAACATGACCAAGCCTTTTATACCATAGAATACTTTCATCAACAGTTGGGAAGTTGTATAGAATATCTTCAGTAATTGTGTATACATTTCCTAAAGACCTAGTGGCTGAGAAAAGTATTTTATCTGTACTTTAACTAATAACCCTGCACTTATCTTTGTCAAAACAAACTTTGCTACCTGAATCACACAGTTGACTCACACTTAGAAGATTTTGTTTGAGTCCTTCAACATATAACACATCAGTGATCTCAAGGAGCTCTTCAGACCTTGAAATGGTGCTTATTCCAATAATTTTTGCCTTTTGATTATCCCCAAACACAATATTGCCTCCATTAAACTTCTTTAGAGATATAAACTTTGAATTATCACATGTCATGTGTCTTGAGCAACCACTATCAACATATCATTTGTCATTTGAGTTACAAGCCTTAAAGGCTGTGTAAACCAACATACTAATTGAGTTTAACTTCTTGGGAATCCACATCATTTTTTACTTGATGAGATTTCTTTTTTCTTTATTCTTTAAAGAATCATACAAATCAGATTTTTTCACATAGGGAGGAGTGTATCTAGCTTTCTTCAAGGATGAAGTAATGAAATCACTTCTTTCAACCTTCAATGTAATATAAATACTGTCTAGGATCTCATACCTAGACCTGGTAGGCTTCACAATAGGAAATGTAGCATACACTTCACCAGTTGCAGAATTTGACAAAGATTGTGTGAGATTGGTTCATTTTTTCTGCAAGACTAGAATTATAACCAATGCCTGTTCTTCCAACTTGTTTGGTGGAAATTTTCCAAATCTTAGACATTTGAAGGGACCTTTATTAAAGAGCAAAAGCAAGTTCTTTTTTACATTTCTTGGTACTCCACACAATATCCTTGTTTTTGAGTTTTGAGATATAATGCACAGTCAAAGAGATTGAACATATAATAGAGATCTTGACCTTCACATGTTTGATAAGTAAACCCCTTGACATTTGAAGTTCTGTATTGAGTTTCTTAATTTGAACCTTCTAAGAATCACACTTAACAGCAAGTCTTTTAAATTCAGCCAGAACCTCTTCAATATCATCATCATCACCACCACTTTCTTCTCCTTCACTATGAGCTTTAGAGACTTCTTGTATAGTCATGAACAAACACTCATCTTCAGGTATGTCTTCTTTGACTTCTTCTTCAAAAGTTAAATCCCAATCAGTGATTAAGACCTTCTTTCCAAACCTATTCTGTTGTTGAACCCTTCTGGTTTTCTCTTGTTTTAGCCCTTATTTGAAGAACAATTAGCAATGAAGTGTCTAGGCTTTCCACAACTATAACAAGTTTGGTTCTATAATTGACCTTTCTTCTTAAACCTAAATTTTTTGAACTTTTTAACAAAATAAGCATTTTTATCATCTTCTAGATCATCATCTTCTAACCTTTGTTCAGTTTCTTCAACAACTTCCTTTGTTTTTAGAGCTGCTTTTCTTATTTGTTGAGTAGGAACTCTAATCCTCATTTCGTAGGTTGTGAGAGAAGCTTGAATATCATCAACCTTCATTTGAGACATGTCCCTATCCTCAAGAATGGTGACATTTGTATTAAACCTGAGAGTTAAAGACCTAAGAATCTTGTTACATACTTTAGAATCCTTTACATCTTCACCTAACCCATTGATGTTGTTGACAATTTCATTGATCCTGAACAAGTGTTCTGAGACAACCTCCCTTTCTTCCATTTTACAGCTTTCATATTGGACTTTCAATAGATGTATCTTGTTTTCCTTTATCACATTGTTACCTTCATGAGTGGCCTTGAGAGAGCCCCACATTTCTTTAGCTGTTTTGCAATTTTTGATCCTTGTTAACTCTTATTACTTGAGAGCACAAAAGAGAGTATCTTTTACTCTTCCATCATTTGCCAAAGTTGTTTTGTCATCAGCTGAAGGATTATTTGGATTAAGAACAACCACACCAATGATAGTGGCATGCCATACATCATAGGACTGAGACATGAGAAATGCTTCCACTCTAGTCTTTCAAGAATCATAGTTTGATCCATCAAACCCTGGAGCTTGGTTAGTGACTTGACCTTCATCCATTTCTTCAAGATCTTTTCTGCAGGTTTATTAAAACCTTTAAAGGGCAGACCAAAGCTTTGATACCAATGAACCAAGACAGGGGGTGAATTGGTTCTTTTACAAAGATTCTTCTAACACTTATTCAAGTTCAAGTGTAAATAGGCTCACACATTCAACCACAAGTACTCAATGATTTTACAAGGAAAATCTCTCTCAACTAGAGACAAAAAACCTTAGTTCTTGGCCATATCTAATATAATCTTCCATTATTTGTAGTGCAAGTAAATACACACACAACTGTCTCTCACTCTGCACACACCCTACCTCACAATAATGCAAAGTATCAAACAGCAGCTCAAAACCTTCATTCTGCTGAAACTGTGAAAGAATGGCAAATTTGGAATTTCGTATTGTCACAGACGTAAAAATGGTACCCTCAACCTTATACTAACATTATACACCTGCTCAGATGATATTCTCGATGGTTCAAGCAAGGTATATCATAATCATTGCTCAATAGGGCTTATATCTGTAGAAAACCCTAAAACCTAGGGTTCCAAAAGTCAAAACACTAAATGGCCTTTTTCTTTGTGCAAATATCAACTTGTATAGCCATAAATCAACTATAGAAACTTGTTTAAATGATAAGAGTCCAACTCACAGCAAGATAACATGTATATATACTCATGACATAAGGTTAAACCAGGAAAACAAGGTACAAGTGAAGTTTTAGACATCAAAATGAACTACATCAAGAATATGTGTATGAACAATGATTCTGCAAATGTCAAATAACAAAACAAACTTGCCTTACCCTCTGGACACCTTTGAAATGGCCTCAAGCATGGAATGAACCTCTGAACCAGCCCTTTGTACCAGAAAAATAGTAACACAAAGCCTTGACCATAATCTTCAAATACACACTCACACTATATGGATTACTAAGATGAATTAGCTCACAAATTAGTCTCACAACTCAGTAAAAGTTCATTTTTCTTGGTGTCTTGAGTGCTTGTCATAATGTAGCTCAAGGGTGCTCACTCACAAGGCATAAGGAGGCACAATGCTATAACAGGATATGTATAGGGTACATTGATCTGTAATCCTACCCTAAAGAGGAAATCCACATGGCATCATTCTCCAATCATTGGCAAGAGAATGTCCTAACATTCCTTGAGCAAAAAAGACAATGCCCCTGTCACCTTACATATTTTCCTCTAGTGAGCTTGTCTTTTGACATCTTGCATATATGTATACACAGCAATATACATTAAGCTTAACCACTAAGCAATGCATAACAAGACTCATTTTCTCACACTAGGACCACAAGACAAGTGTCGTATATTTGTTCTTCATTTGTAATGACCGAAATACCCCTCAAAGGGACACTTGTCAACATACTCAGATTTATGTAGCTGCAACTGTGAACATATGATCAAACTATGATTTTGAGTAACACAATACAATGCATTATCCCAACCAGGTGTATAATGATATAACACATGTGTGAAAAGACTCAATTGCCCCTAAATGACTCTGTAGACAAAAATCACCTCCTAAACCAGAACTATAAACCCTAATTGGCCTGTAATGAGCACTGTTAACACAATGTAGCTTCCTCAGGCTATCTCAAATGATATCTCATGAATATAAAATAACAATGCTACCCTTGTAAGCCTTTGTAATGCATTGAGTATGCCAGAATCACATTAAGCTCACAAAAATGGACATGTCACAACTTTTTGACATTTAAAAGGGCAAACCCTAATTCAATAAAATATAATGGATAAGTTATCTCTCCTCCTTCACAAAATTTTATCCATCCAAACATGGATGGAAAATGCGAAGGAAAAAAAGGCTAGGCTATTATAAAAATTTTTGAATTACAAAAGTTTCCTTATAATAAACATTCTCTCTTCCCTTCTCTCATAACAAACAAAATAAGGTATCATCTCATTCTTTTCTCTTCCATTCAACCAAATAAAAAGAGGAAATGACTCAATCTCTTCTGTAGGGATGTCTCATTCATCTATTTTTCTCTCCCTTCCATCCAATTGTCTTCCTTCCTACCAAACGGTGCATAAGTTATGACAATAAACTGATTAAAATGGTTTCGTTTATTTTCTTTCCTTCATTTTTTCCAAACAAGAATGATCTCCTTCCCCTTTTTCCTTCATAATTTATTTCAACATGAATACAAATTATTACTATTATTTCTTTTCTTTTAGTTATTATTTCTTTTCCCTGTTTTTTCTCTCATGTTTATGAAAACAAAGCCTAATATATATTGTCCTTGTTGGTGGCTGACATTCATATAAGAAATATAGTCAATTGGAAAAAATAAATAAATAAATAAAAATTTCTTTTTTTTTTTCGACCATTTGGGTCAGCTACATGAACTTCTTGTTTTTCCACTCTGCATTACACAGGTTATACAAAAGATAATTTTAATATATTATTACTACCCTAGAAATGCTTCAACATCTTAACAAACTCACAAGGTACCATCTATGGTTTACATGAAGGATCCTCACATAAAACACATTTTAGGTGTTAAAAAGATTCTTTTATAGGTAAACCTGACATGAAAATACTTTCAATCATTTTGGTTCAAAGTGCCATAGAAGCTGCTTCTTTCATGAAAATGATTTTCATTGTTATGAACAACCTCCCAACTCTATTGTTTCAATGTAATATATTCCTCAAAAAATAAGCTACTTAGTAGGTCTATGTGTTTGCTTGAACTTTCAATCTCAAAAAATAAAAATAAAAAAGCACAAGCAATTCACACTCAAATGAAATCGAGAGTAACAGAAGTTAAATCATCACATAAACTAATAAAATAGATTATCAATCTCTCAAAATCATATGAATAACATTATGGAGATCTCAGAAAAGGTCAGCAAAAATAACTCTTTTTAATAAATACATGTATGGCTCACTCGCCATACCTCTCCTCTTGGCGAAGGACCAGCTTACTCGAGGACTGTCATGAGAGGATCATGGATAAGCTCTCTGTGAAGAGAACAAACATTTTATCTCACTCACTCTCCATACCTCTCCCTGTGGCGAAGGACCAGCTTACTTGAAGACTGTCACGAGAGGATTTTCGATAACCTCTCTGTGAAGAGATCGAACATTTTATCGCGCTCCAACATACTAATTCTAACGTATTCTGAGCTAACCCCAAAATGCTTCCCTCCTCTAGTTAATATCTTGTGGCTGCGAAGGAAGCTTTCGCAATCTTCAATTTCCCTTTCACATTTCAACCATGCAAAAGCTACACAAGAAGAAAACAAAATGTCAAAAATTATAGCTTTATGATGACCACCTAACAATGCCCTTTCATCTATTAGACGTAGTTACCAGGTTGCAGTTCAAAAGTTTGACCACTAAAGCTGCACAACCCGAGAGGAAAGTCCGGCAAACTAAAAAGCCGACTCTGTTTCACTGCTTCTCTCAGTTGCTTCCACCTCTTTGCCATTTGGTTATGGCTATAATCAAAGAAGAGTTCACCCCCTTCAGGTTTGCTAGCATGGTCATAGCTATCCGAGACGGCTTGCAAAATCTTTGCTGCTCGGAGCTGTGAATCTTGGGAGACACCAATGGTGTTCAGCTCTATGAATTTGGTCATTTTTTTTGCTACTTCACGATCTTTAACAAGAGCCCAACTGAAAGATGAAGATTAAAAACCTTTTATAAAATTTAGCCCATCAAAAAAGCCTTTTATATCATCTTTTTGTTCATTAGTTGGAAGAACTATCATATAATTAACTAGAACTTCATTAATGTAGTAAGATCAAGAAAAACTGCGTTCTAATGAAACCGTTCAATGAAATTCAAATGATTGTACTACTAGTCAGATGAAAAATCCCATCTTAAAATTAACAACCATACAAGAACGATGAGTAGCTTACTTACCCTAAGCGCGTCCCAGCATGACCCATGCTTTTGGATACAGTGAACAGCATGAGGTCGTGGTCTGCAGGAAAAGAAATTGGAGTGTATTGTGGCCAGTAGTAAGCAAAATCATGAATCAAAATTCCATCATTTCCGTTTACCACAGGTTGCCTTGTAAATCCGTCAGGGTTGTTCGGGGATGTCACAAGCTCAATGTAGGGCTCATCTTTAGTAAATGCGTGCGCATCACCAGCCCATTTATAGAGCCCGGACTTCAGGAAGTCAGTCACCAATGGGTAGGACTGCAAGCAATCAGTAAATACAACTGTAAAACCGAAGGAGATAGTGCATCTTACCAACAAAAAAGTAAAAAATAAAAAATAGAATAAAATCATAGGGCAATAAAATTCAGTTTATATAATCCTGGACAAACAAAGCTTAAAAGGTGCTGCAACCCATGTTAGTAGCTGGACAAATAAGAACAACAACTGAACTGAGACTCAACTTTGTACTATAAAACAAAAAATAAAAATAAAAAACCTTCGATTCTAACATCTTGTAGGTCATTAACGAGACTATAAGGTTTTTAAAATTCTCAACTCCAAAAGAACGAGAAACATTGATGGTTCAGGTTTCACATCTGGAGACAAGAAGATCTCTTCATGTGGATTAGGATTAGTACCACCAATCTGCATCGAGATAGGACATCAACATTTACTTTCACAAGTAAAACTGACCGTACTGACTACTGAATATGTTTTAGTTTTTAGAATGAAGAAGACATGCATGTCACAATTTTGTGGCATTATAAATTGTCATGTAACCTTGCCAAAAAATGTACAAATTAAGGGTGGTTGACTTCAGAAGTGAAGTATAAACTAAGCGTTTCATTTTTTTTTTATTTTATGATTCTGCAAGGACAAAGAATCACCACATGTGTGCTTGTTTTTGAGTGTTGGGAGAGAGAGAGTGGAAACAAAAGGTTAAAGACAAATTAGAGAGCGAAAGTGAAGATGACAAAAAAAAAAAAAAAAAAAAAAAAACCCCAACTTGCGAAGGACAACGACAAAGTATGAAAAGTAATTAAAAAGAAAAAAAAATCGAAGACTTTTTTATGTATTCAACAGCATGCAGATACAGAAACTCATTTCTGTGATTTTTCTGATAAGCAGACATTTTATATATATTTTTCTTTTACTGCTGCGACTCTGAGACTTTTATATAATGCTCTGTTTCCCATGCTTTGGGTAAATTTGTATTTACTGTTCCTCCAGATAAATAGGAATTTTAAAAGAGCACAGAACTACAAATAAGAATGCTTGCCATAGACAGTGATTGAACCGATATCAGTCAGAATTGACTTTTCTTTGATTAACTAGCAAGTCTTTGAGCAAGTCCCAAGAATTATTGTTAAAGAAGATCAAGATGTTATTAAATTAACAAAAAGAATCAAACATAAGAGACTGTACTCACCGAGTAGTACGGGGCAGCAGAGACCACGTTCATGGGCTCAGACGCATTTGGCGGAGAGAGAGCATACAGTGCAGCCTGAAAAAGTTGTGTCGAACCTGTTCCAACCACAATGTGACGGTCTTCAGTGATGGCATTCCCGACCACTTTGTGCAATCTAATAATCGCTTTCGCAAATTCAGGCTCCAAAAACCAGCACAGGTTTCTGACATCGGAAAAATAACTTATGGATTGCCATCCAGAGATCACAACTGTGGTTTTGTCTCCCATTTGCTGCCAAAACCTCTCATACATTGTCGGATCGCCACTGCATTGAATTACATATAAAATTAAAAACTTATTCATAATGTTGGCTTCTATAAATGTAATACCATAACGTTAGATTCTGATACATCATTAAATTAATATCACATGTTTTTTTAATCAATTTGACGTTTTCAATACTCCCTGTGTTCTCTATGGCCCAAACAATAGGTGGTCCACCAATTTAAAAAGTAGAAAAATTAAGGAATCAATGCAAGTAGAAGTATTATGATACTACCATATATATAGGGTCAAAGTTTTGCTTGTGCTAAAAATAATAAATAACTGGGGATTAAACTGGAATGGAGCTACATTGAATTGTGGAATGGGCAATATAAAATAATAAATTTGAATGGTCAAAAATATGGTCAATAAAAGGATGTTCCATCATCTAGAGTGGTCCACTTTCAAGAAAATAGAGTACTAAATGGAGATTAAAACTGTAAAAACTGTCACAGCATTAGGTTTCAATATGGGATGAAGAGTAGGTATGGAAGGCAGCAGTTGCATGTCCTACTCTAAGAGTATCAATAATTGGATGGATGACTAGTTGACATCAATCATCATACCAGAAATGCCTGGGTGGTGACTATAGGTCGAAACCTAGAAGCCTTTCAATCCTTTAATCTTAGGTAGGACCCAAAATTAATTTTTTTTTTTACCAAGTAAATAGGACCCTCAAAATATTATATCCAAAAAAGCCAATCTTTCTATAAAGAAGTATAAGAAATTTAATACGCATATTCAAGTGACTTTTAGTCTTTTTACCACTCTCTAGGGGGTCTGTATGTAGCATGTGCCCAAAGCCAAAAAGGTCCACAAACATGCATTTAGAGTTTGAGATTTATCAGTAATAGCATGTGTGAAAAAAAAAAAAAAAAAAGAAAAAAAGGTGTGTAATAGCATCCATTGGGTTAAAATGGTGGCCTCGGAATCCACATTGCTTAAAAAACTAGCTTTTTATGTAGTTTTGAGGTCCGCCAAAAAGTGAAACCAGAAATGATGGTGCCGTTTCCACCACCACCAATGGTGCATGTTAGAATATTCTTCAAATCCATTTCAATATGTATTAATGTATGCAATAAATTAGGTAGTATTGCATATCCATTCATATATATCCAATTTTTTCCTATTCAGATCTATTGTGGGACAAGGCTTCTCTAGTATTTTTTTCCCATCCAATCGTTGTAGTCGGATAGCTGTCAAGGATTGGATTTGGACCGTTTGGTTCGGCCTTTTGATCTAAAAACTTAAGTTATTCGATGGTAATGCGTATTCGGATCTGATATAAGAAAAGACCCCTCCTAACATGTTGTATTGTAGAAGTAAATGTGTTCCGTGAATGTATGTATCACTTTGGTTGTGACATTCTCAATTTAGTGTTTTACATCCTCACATAGGACCACCATCCACTGTACACAATATTGATTCATTAGATGACATTACGCCATTATAGATCCATTTTATTTAATAAATCTAGATCGAATTGATCCACTAAGAGTCAATAATCAATCAAGATTATCCAATTAAAGGAAGTGGACCTACGAGTGTAATTTTTATTCACCAAGTAACAAATGGCCTAGACTATCTAATTATTCCTCCATTCATGATCAATACTATATAGCGGCAGAACCCAGATTTTGGGGGAGATAAAAAGCTAACAGAGCAGACGTCAAGTTCAAAGGAATGCTTCCCCACAAAGAGGAACTGTCTAAATGACAAAATTATTACTACCTAATAAAACTTTTCACCTTGTCTGGCGCATGTCCATGAAAGTCTAGATCCTTTTGTCACGACTCATACAAGGCAAAATGACAATTACGCCCCCCAGTAATTATAAAACTAGACTCAAATCAACAGCATTAGCTCCATTAAAACAAAAAGTCTTAATTAATATTGGCTCTCCTTAATGCTTGTTGTCATGCCCATTAAGAAATTAAGACCCAAACATATATAATATATGTGTGTGTGTGTGTGAAAAAATGAATAAATAAATTATCAAGCAAGGTTAAAAAATTTATATTTTCACCAAGGAAAAGTCAAAAGTGGAACACTTACTGGTCCAGATTGATAACTATTTCCCCGCCATCTTGAGCTTCCGTACGAACAGTTGAAGACGACGGCGACTTGAGGAGCAGATTTTTCTGGCTAAGGTGCGCCTTGTCCTTTGAAAAATCGGCCATGGAAGTCCATCCTCCTCTGTTCTTCTCTCCATCCTCGAAACATAACCCGCCGTGAAGACTCCGTTCTGCTCTCTGAATCTCACCCTCATAAGCAACCCTCAATATTAGCCCAACATTCAGTGCCAGAGACACCATCAACACATGCCTCAGTGACAAAACCCTAGACATCATCTTCACCCGCAAATAGCTCAATCAAAATAATCACAGATTCGTATAGTCGGTGAGCCCTCGTCTCAAGATTCTGATCAGAAATAGAACCCCCAATAAAAAAAAGAAAATGAGTTGCCAAACAGAGAAATAATCCGGAAAATGTTGGAAACAGAGGGAAATTTTCCACTACTTTCTTGAAAGAAAAAATTCAAATGCTTATACATTGTGAAAATGTTTGTTTTCTAGTTCTGTGATGTGGTACATACCAGTAGAAGAATCTTCAGAAATCAGCATGCTTGTGACAGTTCAGGTCATCGATTTTGTTGTTTTGTGTGATTCAGAGAGAAAACAAGTAGAGAGAGGACCAATCCGAACACGCTGGTGGTAATCAGATGCTAAAATGCGCCGGATGAGTGTAAAATACTAGCTTTCTTCGGTAACACTCACCCCTGAAGTGACAGGAGATTTTCCGGGAATCGAGAAATCACGGGGACGATTTTCCAGGAAAATCGCACTTCTCCGATGCTGGATCTCGAAAACTGTTTTGTGCACTAGAAAAATACTAGTCTCACTGTTCTATCACAACACAACTCCTTTATGTATGTGACTGTGTGAGTGTGTGTGAGTATATATATATATATATATATGTATGTATGTATATTTAGAGAGAGATAGATAGATACATAGAAGTGCGAGAAACAAGGTATGTTTGGTGGCGTGGTTGAGATGGAAAAGAAAAGCTGCTCTTACAGCTTCGGGCTCTGTTGCATTTTTTCAGTTCACTTTTATTTTTTTTTCTTTTTTCTTTTCCCTTCTCTGTGTTTTTTTTTTTTAAGCAAAAATTAACAATTTAATAGTGTTAGATCTTATCTTTGGACTTCATAAGTTGGGGTACTAGTGGAGTTTCTGTTTATACATTAGCATTAAAGAAGAAATGACCCACCCGATCCATATATTATGGGTCTCGACATCTTGGACTTCGTGCCTACCTATGAATTTGGAAAAAACTTTATATAGTCCGGCCAATCACCTTACTGGACCAGTGTTGAAGGAAATAGTAATATTTGATTTGTAGGTTGGCAAAGAGTGTGTTTATAGCTCATAGCCTTGGAAAAACATCCATTAAGGGCAACTTTAATGGACTGTCATTTGAGATCCCAAACTCAAATTTTGAAAGGTGGGTCAAAAGTAGGTTGTCAAAATTTGAGATTTTCAGATCCCCTCTCAAATATAAGGATTGTTAATTTTTTTTGACAAATCTTTTTTTTGTTCTAAACGATGCCGTTTCTTCTCTCTCCCCCTCAATCTCTCCTCTGTTCCTTTCGTTGCATTCTATCTCTGTCCCTTTCGTGTCGTCACTCGCTCCCTCTCATCTACAACGACCTGCGATCGCCATCACCGATCTATTGACCATGATTCAAACGGAACCCAATAACACCATTGCTCACCCTATCGGAACCCAAGAACCCTAACATACATCTTTTGCCGCCGCACCTCCCATCATCCTATCTTCCACCACCATCGCTGCCACCCCACCGTAAGAACCAATATATACAGAACCCACCACTCTTTTCTTACCATCGATTGCCCCTACCTTCTTTCCCTCATGGTACGATGACAAATCAATCTCAAAATTAGGGTTATGATTAGCTTCAATGTATAGATTGTTGGGCAAAAGGAATTAAGGTTTGAAATTCAAAGTACGGCAAAAACGAAGTAAGAAATTGGAAGTAAGACTTTGTATCATAACATACAAAGTCAAACCCAGAAAATAAACCACCAAAAGAATATATACACAGATCAACAAAATATCATGGCCATGGCGGTGGCAAAGGGTGGAAAATGAGGTGGAGAGGAGAGAGATGGTGGTTGTGACGGTGGTTGGTGGAGAAGATGAGGTGGAAAGGAAGGAGATAGCGGCGGCAGTGGGTGGAGAGGAGAGAGAATACAGATGAATTTGTAACTTTATTATATATATATATATGTGTGTGTGTGTGTGTGTGTGTGTGTGTGTGTAAATTTGTAACCATATATATACACACACACTTGCATATATATATATATATATATATTCGTCTCCTTCTGCACTATAATTAATGCTCAGTAAATTGAAGTTTTTCTTCTTTTTTTTTTTTTTTTTTTTTCTGTGGTGGTGTTGTTGTTGCTTATTGGCCTTCACTGATGTAAGAGACAGCTCAAAATGATAGTTGGAAATGGTAGTTAAAAAAGAATGGTGGTTGTGTCAAAAAATAGCATTTTGGAATAAATACATTATTGGAGCAGAATTGCTTAAATATGACATTTTGATACTGTAACACCTCTCAAAATATAGCTTTGGTATGCAAAAATAGCATTTTGCATTGGAAATGATCTAAGTCTATTTTTGTTAGTTATTCACTTAAAAGAAAGCTAAAAACACTAGAAAATATTAAATTAGATATTATTTTATGGTTCAGTTAAGACTTGGTTCGTTCAGTTTTTTAAAAATAGTTAGGACTTGTTTGATTTGGTTTTCTAAGACCAGATTTATGAGAATTAAGAATTGAGAACTGAAAAATGTCCAAAAAATTGTTTTGGTGATGATTTTTGAAAATTGCTTCTAAAAACTTAATTTAAAAAGGTCTGTTTTTAGATAATTATACTCCCTCTATCCCAAAATAAATGTCTATTTTCCGTATTTTTTTTAGGGAGCTGATAGTCACGCTCCACTTATATACTCTAACATTCCATCTTTATCCTACTTTATTTTAAATGACCAAAACACCCTTCCTTCCAAAATATTAGGATCTACACTACTCTTTGTTTCTTACACGATTAAAATTTGGACAAAGCCACTCAATTCTTCAGTGCCTATAACCACCGCCCTTACTTCCCACTATATTGTTCGGAATAATTAACCCCTTCCAACCCACTCAACGGTCGGCTGTTGTTGAGAGACAAATCCCACATTCTTCACATACAGCGGAAGTATCATCACATCATATCAACAATATATTTTACATGGTTCACCCAACTCTAGGGTTACGGCCATGGGAGAAAGAAATTTCACTATTATGAATCAAGAAAGAAAATATACAACCACATGTCAAAACCCCAAACACTCACTCATCATATCTTTTGAGAGTACATATATACACTCAAAAATTACATATACTCTCCCATCTCCTCACAACATTCACCCTTAAATCCCTAACATCTTTTCTCTTTTCTCTCTCTTTCAACCTCTCATACACATCTCTATTTATAAAGTCTTCAAAACTCAATTCCTTGTTAGACAAGTATTCCCCAACTGGCCTACAAGGAGTTATCAAATCAATCCCAACTTTAAAATATAAACTTAATGAGACACAATTTCTTGCACAAAATTTAGCATTCCAAAACGAAAAAGGAAACTAATTTCTGCACACAATTTTGAGCCACAGACCCAATAATCTCCATCTTAGCTCAAAATCGATCTTCACACGTTCCTCTATAGCTCCACCTAGAATGAAGATTGCTCCACTTTGAACAAAACTCCATCCATTATCCCTATTGGTGTTCAATTGCTCACGCATGGCAACCCACCAATCTTCAAACTCATCTTCATTAATTATTTTTCTGGCTCAAAGTAACAAACTTCTCCTCTTTATTCTTCATATTTCCCTTTTCTCTTTATCGGGCTTAGAGCAAACCCTTATCAGGCTTAGACAAAACCCCTTCATTTTTCACACCCTTGCCCCATCTTGAGTAGCAATTTTTTAGCTTATCTCTAAAACTTGATCCTCGTGGGTTTCACCTTTATCACCTTTGCCCCATCTTGAAAACGAGCATCCTCCGGCTTATTCCACGACTTATTCCTCATGGGTATGTGTCTTCACACCATCTATCTTCTTCGTGTCATCATCAACTATGATTGAATCTCCATAACACCTCACGATCATCCTCTACGCTGACAAACATCACACCAATTTTATGTTCTAATCTTTAGGACCAACTACAGTCTCTAACCCACCATCGGATATCATACCACTTGTTAGGGATAATTAACCAACTCACTCAATGATCGACTGTTGTTGAAAGTTAAACCCCTCACTCGTTACACACAGCGGGAGCATCATCACATCACATTAACATAAGCATATATGGAGATAACAATTACATACATCCACGCACAACACAATATTTTACATGGTTCACCCAACTCCAGGGTTACGTCCAAGGGAGAGAGAGATTTCACTGTTATGAATCAAGTCAGAAATATACAACCACATATCAAAACCCCAAACACTCACTCATCATCCCTTTTGAGGCTACATATATACACTCGGGAATTACATATACTCTTCAATTTCCTCATAACATTAACCCTTAAACCCCTTACATTTTTTCTCTCTTCTCCCTCTCTCTTAACCTTTCATACCCATCTCTATTTATAGAGTCTTCAAAACCCAATTTATAATGTCCCGAATTTTTCTGAATTTTTAAAAAAATTTGTTTTATTTAGTTTTTGTGCCTCTTTTGCATGCCACACGAGTCCTGAGGGTTGTTTTGGTAATTTTCTTGAGCCGAGAGTTTTAGAAGTATATTTTAATTATTTTAAGTCAGTTAGAAGCGGCGGGATTGATTTTAGAATTTTTTGAAAGTCGGGACGATTTTCATACTCAGAAACTTCTCTTAGTTTTGCCCTTTTTTAGTGAAAAGTATTGTTGACATTACACACACATATACATATATATGTAAGTATTCATTGGGAGATATTTTATGGGATATGGAAGGGATTGCATGGAAAGAGTAAGGGCATGTTGGTAACTTTACCAAAAGAGGGAACAAACCCTTGGTTGACAAGTGGCTCAAGGAGAGCCACACTTGGGCTTAGAAGACAAGTCAACCCCTCATTTCTTCTTCATTTTCAGATTCCCTCTCTCTCTCTCTCTCTAACCTTTCTCCTTCTCTCACTATATCTACATACACATATGTCATATATATTTCAAGCTTGGATTTAAAGAGGTTAGAGGGTGATTTTGATGATGCTATTGAAGGGAAAGTTGATGAGCTTGAGAAGAGCCTTCATTTGGGACCAATATTGCAAGGTTTAGGAGAAATTCAAGATTTGGGGATAGCCTTAGGGCTTGTTGGCTTGGCTAAGGGTATGTTTGGCTAGTACACATGAGTTAGGGATTTCTAATGCTTCAAGCTTTGCCTTTTGTTGAATATTCATACTATGAGCTTCTATTAACTTCATTCTTGAATGCTAAGGTATAAATTGACATGATGGTAATATGTTAAAGTGTGGAAGCATGCTAGTATGTGGACAAAAATGTGTTTAATTTCATGCCAAGTATGTGTATTACATGTCTTTGATGCAAAATTGCTTAGATTAATAATTCTAGCATGATTTATAATGATATGAAATTCTTTGTTGAGTATGTTTGTGATTGGTTACAACCAAATGCCATGTTGTGCTTGATTTAAAAATAAAAATGTTATGCTTTATGATCACATTGATGGAAATGCTATGAATGGGTTTGAATTCCAGAAAATGTTACATTTATACCATAGTTGCATAGGATGAGGTCGAGGTCAAGTTGATGGAATTGATTTGCATGCATAACATGGTTGGGAAATTTGATTAAAAAAAGGTTTGGATGGGTTTTTTTTTATTATAAAGGAACTAAATTTCACAAGTCCGGTGCTAACTTGTCCTAAAAGGAACGCGGTCCGGTGTAGGACGTGAAAAAGTTGTTACTAGGCCCCAAAAAGGTTGCCGGATTTGGAACCAGGGATAGTAATGAATCTCGGCTCGGTAAAGTATGTTAGTGGTTTTCAAATGAGTTTAAGGTTGGTAGAGACCAAGTTTAGGGCCAGTAGAGGCCAAGTTAAGGTCGGTTAAGACCAAGTTTGGGAAATATGGGGCATTATATTGCATTCTACGTATACTTGTGTTGAAATGCTTAAATACTATAGTTGAGATTGTTT